AGGCAGAATGTGCAGAAGGAAAAGACTGTGGAAATTGAGAAATCAGCAAAGGAAGGAACCAGGAATGAGGAGAAAGGTAGAAGACACACAAGTGTCTACCTCTTGCTGCCTCTCCCATTTCTCCTTCCAAAGATTCTTAGAAATCTGAGATAGAGCTCACAGCAATTTCACTTTTATCTTGAAAACTAAGGTGGCCCCAGCAAGTTGGGGCCCTTGGCAAATGGACATTGCAGCTAAGTTAGCAGTAACCTACAATTTAGATTCTAAATGTTCCCTTTCAAAAAAGTTTGTTTTCTCTAAATATCTACCTAGAGCATCTACGTTAGACAAATTCACCAAACAATCCTTCCATTTTTTTTCCACTTTATTTTACTGCAGCTATAGGATACAGAAAGAAATACTTTTCTACTTGACCAAGGATAAGTGGCAACCAATAGTCAGAGTTTGTGTTTGAAATCAGATCTGAGAGATGCCAAAGTGAGCCTGCTATTATAAGGCAGGCACAATTCTGGCCCTGAAAAAGTCTGGATTCTAGTAATGGTGATGTTTCTGACCTTCTTTAAGGGAAAAAGAAGTTTTTATATTAAGTTTTCTTATTAGACTAATTGAATTATAAAGTGCAAAAACATTTTGTATTACATAATACAGAAACAAAAACTTGTTTTGAGTTGAAAATATTTAAACTTATGACCTATAAATGTATGAGACATAGACTATACTTGGAAAATAAATGTTTTGATAAAATATTTTTAGTTTCTCAAGTCCCAGTGTGACATGGGAAAAATAAAGCAGTATTCTTGGATGAGACAAAGAAAAAGAAAAGGAAATACACCAAGTTTTCAAACAACATATTTAGGATAAAAGACCTTTTTATTATGACTTTTAGAAATAGCTCTGTAACCATATTGTGCATATTTCAATGCACATCTGTGGTTTGTTCTTCCAGCATTGTGCCTCTAAAATTAGAAGGCTCCACTTGGAAGAATGCCACAGTAATTATGAAAAGGGCTATAGCCTAACAGGGACTGAGACCAGTACAGAAGACAGACGAGGAAAGAAACTCTGGGTGATTTGGGCTAAAATTCAGAAACCATCTGTTTAACTCTTGGTATAAATGGAATAAAATCAAACCTTAGGATATTTAAAACCAAATAAAAGCAAGGATGATTCTTGCATTCAGAAATAGCAAAAAACATTTTTAAAATATTCTATATAGTTTTGGGATTACAGATTCATGATGATAAACATTATAACATAATAACTATAAATTATATTTGTTAATAACATTCTATGACTTCAGCTATTGATTCACTCAATATAAATTTGCTACATATCTGTTATGCACTAGCCCAAGCATAGGTGCTGTAAGAGATAGGAAGAAAATAATGATAACTTACTGACCATCTAATATCACAAATATTTTGGATCACCTCATTTATTTCTCATAGCTACCTGCCAGCTAATCAAGCCTTAGATAGGTTGATGTGTCACAGGAGATAAGCTTGAAAGTGTCAGAGCAGCCTTCAAAACCTACATCTGTCTACACTGAAAGCCCTCACCCTTGCTACTATGCCACATTGTTTTCCCAGAGAGAAGAAAGGAATGAGAAAGACAAAGCCACAGCCGCAAAGGATCTTGGACACAAGGATATAAAACAGTATCTGGATTTACGTATCTGTAATACAAGCTTCATAGGAGAGGATTCAAGTGTCAGTGGAGTTCATCCCTCTGGCCTCAGGCTGAAATTTCAACTAAGCCTGGAAGAATGGGTAGGAGTCACCCAGGCAGAAAGAAAACTAACTTAAATTCCAAAATTAATCATAAAAATATGATTTCTTGGACTTAAAAAAGGAACATGAGTCAAACAGAATCACTAAAGGAAGTCCTTCCTTGAGAGATGTCTCCTCTGGTTCCTTAATATTTCAAGCCCTTTCTCCCTACACACGCACACACAGACATATACATCACATACATCCATACAGACAGACAGAGTAAGCAAATAAAGATATATAAAAAATCGCTTCTATAGTTTTGAAATAGCATTATGTAAAGATTTAACTAATAACTTTGGCTAATAATCCATGTTTTGACAGAAAGCAGGGGAATGGTAGGCATTTGCTGAGTCACAGGCCTCTGGAGACATAATTCTGAGGAGACTGAATCAGAAGGTGGGGTTGCAGTGGGGCTGACTGCACAATTGAGGGAGCCTCTGTGCTTCTCCACGAATGAAGGACAATTGTTAATACTCCCGAGAGACATGTGGAAAGATGAAGAAAAGCCAATAATAAAATCCCGTGAAAATTGGAAGAGTACATCCCTGCGTAGTCCACCAACCCTTTCCTGGCTTTTGAAAGCACAGATTCTCAGTTCTGTGTCCTCCTGTGTCATGAGGTAAGCTTCCCTTCAGAGAGGTTACCTTTCACGTTCACAGAACAGCTTGTTTAAAATATTTAAAGTTGGAGTGTGTGTGAAAGGTCATAGTGCGCATGAGGAAGAATGAACCCGGGGTAAAAACATGTAACATTTGAAAAACAAACAAAGTGATATAATAACCTTTAGCAACGGCTCCTACCAAAATTTGGTCAAAAAATGTACTTTCTGAACTTTATGATAATGAGCTCTTTGAAAAGTAAAATTAAATAATAAAAAGTTAGCATGTACTTTAGACTGTCATTTCAGAAAATTATGTGACAGTTTAGAAGAAATACAGCTTTTCTATGACTTCTACAAAAATAATGATGCAATGATATCAATTGCTGCCACAAAAGAGGAGCAGAAAACTACTTAAATTTCTGGCTTATTTACGCAACCAGAGACCTCTAGATAAGCTCTTGGAAAAAAAAAAAAAATCAGTTTTTAGAGAACAAAGTTAAAGAGAAACAGCAAATAAAAATTTACAGTATTTGCGAGACAGGGAGGAGAAGGAAAATCTTATATCCTTCCCTTCAT